TTACTTCAAACTGATTTGCAAGTGACTTTAATTTATTATGTTTACATGTTCTGATAAGGTGTGGGTAGTTTACAATCTTAACACACAGGTAAACTAAGAATCACATGAACAAAAAATGAAAACCAAGCTGCTGAAAACACAGGTCTCTTTTTATAACCTAAAGCATAACAAAACATACTACCTAAAGCATAACAACATGAAGAAAAACCATAACAACCCATAACAACAACATCAACACAAACTGAATACATAGAACCTGATTAGAAATAGAACAAGTTGGGTATGACATCCTCAATAAAAGGCAGATAAGATGTTTCATATTACATAGTACAAAAGGCTGAGTATGGCATCCTCAGTACAAAAGACAACCAGATAAGATGTTTAATACAAATGGGTTGTTTTAAACTTACATATTACACAAAACATATTACATATTACATATTAAACTACTCCAGGTCTATTGGGTCTGCATCATTCCCAAAAAAAGATAAACTTGAAAGAGCTTTTGGATCTAGTGCTGTAGGTTGATCTCTTCTTAATGTCCAGCTTTTGAGGCTTGGTTCTTTTTAGTTCTGACTTCTGACCTTTTGAGGTCTTTGAATCAGGGGGTGGTCCATAGCTAAGCTTGACCCCATGAGGATTTCTCACCTCTATCTCCTTACTGCAGTCATCATCAGTTTCCTCAGTGTGTTCTCCACTTCCCCCCTCATTCTCTTTTTCACATTCTTTGTGTTCATAAATGCCTTGCTCAGTGTCTTGACTAAACATTGATGTGTCCTCCATTGAAACAACCATAGGAAATTCAGTTTCCATAGAAGGAGACTCTGCAAAGTCTAAAGTAACATCCACCAAGTTGTCCTCATATAGGTCTTCAACTGTAGCTTCTCCATCAAGCACAGGTGCTCCATCAACTGTTGGTTCTCCATCAACCGTAGCTGATCCGTCCACAATACCTAATCCATCAACCATAGGTGTTCCAGCATCTCCATCACCATGTTTGGTACCCACATTGTGCTTGGCTGTGGATTTTCTTTTTCTTTTCCTAGGTTGCAACTGAGTATACAAAAAATAAGAAGAAGATGTGGTTATACATCTCCTAACATTATGCCCTTCTTTCTTACACTTTGAGCAATGCATCTTAAAGTGTATTCTTGACACTTTCACTCCATCTGTACTCAGCAATGCATCAACAATTGATTTCCTCCTAAGCTTTCTTGGTCTTCCAGGTCTGGCTGAATACAAAGGTGAAAGTGGTGCTCTTCTTTCATAAAGAGGCCACTCATTAGGCCTTGCCATTGGTTTTATTGACCCAACATATATCTTCGGGTAAACTTCCCTTATGTAACATGCGTGCACATAATCATCTACTGGCCCTTTTCCAAACTGCAGCCAAATAGCACATATAGCATGCTTGCATGGGATGCCAGTTAGGTCCCACACCCTGCATGTGCAACTTTTTTTCTCCAAATCTACAACATGTTGGGTACCACTCATCCCAGTAATCTCAAACTCATTATCTCCACACTGATAACCTATCAAACCTGCAACAAACTTCTCAATTTCTTGTATCTTTTTTACTATTCTGGGGCATACATTGGAGGTCCATTTCTTTGCTTTTTCTCTACTGGTAAAAAGTTTTGTAAGTAAAAGTTTCCTTATGGATTCTAAGCAAATGAGAATGGCCTCTTGTCTTGCATCTAAGATCACACCATTGAAACACTCACATATGTTGTTTGTGAGCATATCAGTTTTCGAGTGTGTGGAGAAATGAGACTTTGACCATTCTCTTGGATTTTTATCTGTCAGCCACTCAAAAGCTTTTTGATCTATTTCCATTACCTTTGTAAGAGCAGCCTTAAATGAATTGACAGTACAAGCTCTAGCACATTCCCATAGACTATCTTTGATTGCTTTACCATGAAACCCAGCCACCTTCATGTTCCCATACAAATGTCTTACACAGAACCTATGTTCAACCTTTGGAAACAACTCAGTCACAGCTTGAATCAAACCTTTTTGCTTGTCAAACATGAATGTGAATAGATGTTCATTATCTTGTGTGATATCAGCATCTCTTCTTATTAGATTCAAAAACCAGGACCAAGACTCCTTTGTTTCCCCTCAACAATAGCATATGCTAATGGAAATATGCTATTGTTTGCATCAATCCCAACTGCCACTAATAACTGCCCCCCTTTCATGGTTTTCAGATGAGTGCCATCAACACCTAGTACTGGTCTGCAACTTTTAAAGCCTTCTCGAGATGCTTCCCAACACATGTACATCCTTAAGAATCTCTGTTGCCCATCCAGCTCTATGTTTAATTTTCACTTAATTTAACAACACATGTGGTCATTGGATTGCTCCTCCTTATTTCAGCCACATAACACCACAATTTTTTTGAAGTAGTCATCTTCTTCACCTCTAACCAACCTTTTAGCCTTGCTCATTGCTTTACAAGCCTGCCTTTGAGTCACATGAAACCTTTCATCAGTACATACCTTTTGCCTGAACACTTTGTTCTTCCAGATGGAGTGACTTTTGATCTCCTTTAACCACCTTTTAGCAACCTTTGTTGAGTTAACCATTTTATTGTGATACACCCAAGAGCACTCTTCATGTGTTCTGTGATACTGTAGTATCCTCCAAGAGTGGAAATTTGCTACCTTCCTGAGGTTAATTCTCCATGGACAGTCTAAGTGCTTGCATTTGACAACAACTCTTTCCTTATCACTTTTTGAAAACTTTAGGTCCTTACCTGTCTTAAAAGCATGATTCTCAACTACTTCTTTAAATTCTTTCTTGGTAGCAAAGGTCAGTCTCGGCTTGAAGGTAGGATTTTGCATATCAGTCCGGGCACAAAAATCACTCCACTTATCATTATCAGAATCAGAACCATGAATGGAAGCATCATCTTCAAAGTTTGGTTCAGGATCTACCAATGATGGATGGTTTTCTATGTTTTCTTGTTCAGTGTTAGTGTGCAGCCCTCCATACTCAGCTGTTGGATCAATGTTATTGGAAAAATCACTATCATCTTTAGAAACAAAGTCGCCTAGATCTGAATCTTCATCATCCCCAGAAAAATCTTCTAACTCCTCACTGTAAGCACAATCACTGCCAGAGAAGTCATCATCACCATATCCACCTTCATCCTCTTCTTCTAAGAAATTTCCTTCTTCTAACTCAACCCAAATCTCCACAACTCTACCCACACTTCCATTATTCACACAGGCCCAAATCTCTGAGTCACCTTTCAGTTCTTCTAATTAAGAATCTAAATAGGAAAACACCCTTCTTACCTTATCAGTGCAACCAAGTTCTTGTAGTTTCTCTTTCAGGACGACTAGACCAAACTCATCCACATCTAGATCACGAAATAGATGAGTAGTGCCTCCCCTGTAAGCAGGTCTGGCAGTGCCATGGTCTTTTCCTCCGTACAACAGCTTCAGACTAAATGTAGTCTCACATTGCGCTGTTTAAAAAAAGGCATTCAATGTGGTAGGTCAATCATTCAAAGTGGTACACACAACCACATAATAAATACATACACAATACAAACATCAAAAATACAATTTTTTCAAAGTACACTACACACAAACCATTCCACAAACCATTAGATAAAGTTAAAAAGGAAAAATAATCTGGTCTCATTTGTCAAATCCAAAAAGATAAAGGGAAAAGAGAATCTCACTACAGATAAACCCTACCCTACCTTCTCCACCAACATAAAAAAACCTTTTGTTTTTGTCTTTAACACTTCACCTAATTTTCTACTCACATCATTCATACGCAACTTCACAAAATTTCTTACCCAAATTAGGTTAGAGAAATTTCTTACCTTTCTGGTTGTCTTCCACACTCGTCCCTTCTCCATGTCCTCTTCGCCCCATTCCAATTGTTGGAACATCAGTAAATCGCGTTCTCATCCTTAGATTACGTTCTAGGGCTCATCGCACCCCTTGAAGGGGAAATGGAAATTACAGTGTATAGTAGAAGGAGAGATGCTTAGGTGATAGTTAGCTGTTTAAAAGGAACTTGATTTTACTAAAATGACCTTCATTAAAAGCTAAAATAGGTAACCCCGTCGGACTTATCACCGGAAGGACGAGGAATGGTAACGGGAGAAAACGATGGGATAAGATGTGGCGAAATCGGAAGTATGGTACAAAATGTGGAAGTTGCATAATATTGTCGGGATCAAAAGTGGAATTTTTTCTGTTATGGTAAATAAATATAATAGGTACTGAGTATTTGAGAATTTAATAGTTGTTATTCTATATTAATTGTAGTTGTGCTATTGAGTTCATGTGCTGTTGTTTTTTGGTCAATCAAATTGTGGTAAACAATGAGGATATATGGTTTAATGTTGCGCTTTTTGGTTTTGCTGATTTTGTTCTGGTTTTGTTGATCTTTATGGTAAAGAAAAATACATCTTGCCTACAACTAATCTCAAACTCTTCACCTCAATACCTCAAAAGTAAGGTTTCTGATAATAAGCAGCCTGACCATAAGTTAAACAAATACTGGTAAATGATGCTGAAATAGAACCCAACTTTCCATTAATGTAAAGGCATGAATGGAATGGAATGGAATGGAAAGTTAAGTAGCTAACAACACTCTTTTAGTAACACTATGAGTATATGTTAGCTTAATATTTCCTTCAGTCCAATGTTATTAACATCAAACATGAATTTCAGATGTAGAAAAAAGATTATAAAAGAGAGAATACAAAATCTTTACATTCCACCCAAGCTGCACTTAAAATAGGTCAATTATATCAAAAAAGCTATCAAAGATGTTTTTTGCTGGTGTTATGCTCAATGAAATGTTTGCTACTGTTATCCTAAGTCTCCTTTACAAATTGGTACCAAGTCAAAGGATATTGCTGCCACTATCCCACCTCATCCAGTTATAATCACAGACATTTCATCACCCTCCAACCTATTATAACCACTAAATGGAAAATCGCTAATACAAGTAACCAGAAAATTAAGTAATGAGCCGAAATAAGACTCTATAATAACACACAGACAACTGGAACATACACATCGACATATTATACACTTTACATAAGCACATCACAAATAGTGAAGAACAAACGCATATTTACATTCAAAGCAAATGAAATCAAATATATAAACGATCAAACATCAACACAAACTCATACCAAGCTCAGGGACGTCATCCATGGCCGCCGTATATTGAGGAAATAACTTTTTTTCCATAGCTTTCTGAATTGTCTCTTTTATAGAGGGACAAATTTTATTGTAAAGTATAATGTTTTAACACTATACTGTAGTGTCGTTATTATATAGAAGTGAGACTTTATTTAGACGCATTCATAAAAAAAATTGAGAAACAAATTAAAGAGGCATATTGATGCTGTTTTCATAATCTTATATCTGCTTATATCATAATCTCATATTGCTCCTGTTTTCACAAAAGCACTTCAAGAGCATCGTAATTCTAAAAATCATCTGTACAATCACTGATCCTACACAAGCTCTCTTACTCAGTCATAGCGAATCTCAGGTATCCGACCATGAGCTCTCTTGATGAGGTCCATGTACTTTACCAGATTTTGGCAGCGTGTGATGTCCAAGTATTGCAGCTTCTTCATACACAGTATGTTTAACAGGTCTAAGTCCCCAATTGTTGAATCTGAGAGGTTAATTATCCTCAAATCTGAAAACCCAGAAGAATAAGAAGAAGAGACGAGATGAGTTGAGAAATGGCTATCAACTTCCCCGTTCCTTCTGATCCCCCTAATGTCAGGGCAACATCGCTTCACCGCTTCTAAAACTGCAGGGTTGAAGTAGGGTGAATCGGAAAAGTCAATGACCTCCAATTTCCGGCACCTCCCTATCAGCTCCAGGATCACTCCTTCACTACCATTGTAAGACCCATGGAATGAAAAGTTTCTCAGGTTAGGGCATCTGTCACCATTACAACGCACAGAATCGCAAACGCATTTCAGATTAATCGCATCCAGAAATTGAAAACCTCGAATGATCGGTTTCATCTTCGATATTTCTTTCAATTGCAAATTTAAGGTCTTACCGACTGGCGATCAGAGTAAGAACGGTGTCGTCATTGTGAGGCCCATCAACGGAATTGAGAAAGGGGTAGACGAAGAGAGAGGTGATGGCCGCTCCGCTGCCGGCTCTGTCCATGAGCATTTGAAGGCGGAGGACGCCGCCGCTACGCCTGCCACGGAATGGATCCGGAAAGGCGGACCTGTACGGAAATGAAGCTTTGACGAATGCATCATCGGCGGAGAGGGGGTAAGTGTCGGCGATCATGGAGGCCCAGCAACGAGGGTCGCGAGAAACGTGGGCCCATGATTTGCATACGAATGGAAGGTTGAAGAGGCGATCTTCAATGGAGGACTTGCAGAAGATGTTGGATATTGCAAGGTTTGGGAGATTATCCCACGTTACTTTTATGCGTTTCAACTCCATCGAAGCCCTTGCTTAACAGAAGACTGAGGGACTCAACTATTCAGTAGTAGAAGTAGACACCTAAAATACTCCTTTTAGCGATACTATTTTTTTTAGCAATACTAATTTGCTTAGATAAATACTCCGTATTTAGACAATAATTAAATAAAATATCTTGATTATATTTTGAGAAATAATTTTAATAGATGTATATTATAATGTAATTAGTATTGATAACTGTGATTTAATGAATGTATTATTTTTAATATTTAATGATTAATTTGTCACTTAAAATTGTTAATTGTCTCCTAAAATAGAAATGAGAACATTTATACGGGACGTCCAAAAAGGAAAGGGATAACCTTCTAACGTGACAGAGGGAGTACTTCGTAATCACATTAAGCAAACAATGAGTAGGGCAGTCTTTATAATTATTGGGGCCCTAGACAAAAATATACAAAATAAGTTACTTAATAATTACTCCCTCCGCCCTTTTTTATTTAGCCAAACATTGTTTTCCAAGTCAATGATGTGTAAATTTGACTGATTATATATTTATACACGGTAATATTGATAATATGAAAATAATATGAAAATGTTCTTTGTTAAAAGTACTATCATAAAAACATAAATTTATTAAATTTCACATAAATATATTAATTAAAATAATAGACCAAAGTTTATCATCTTTGACTGAAAAAGTAAAAGCTGACAGTGTTTGATAAAATATGTGTTTTTCGTGTAATAGAAAAAGTGAAAATCAGTTTAAAACACTCTTGAACTTGCTTTCATCATTTAGCTTTTAAGTGATTAATTAATTAATTTAGTTGTCATTCAAAAACACCAATTTCAGTTTTTTTAAAGTCAAAAGCTGAAAATCACTTTTTTTGGGAACAGTCCCTTAAGATGTCTATTTTTTGAAAGCAATATAATTAACTATTATTAATAAAATAAAAGTTCAAAGACTTCACAATACAACTAGGAGGAAAGAACAACCAAAGTGGCAACCAGAAATGGAAACTGCGTCTCGAGCTAACTCGTGAACAGCGCATACCAAGTTGGGACTGTATTTCTCCTTCAATTCCTGAAACAACGAGCAAGGCATCATACTACACATCAGTATCATCCCACTGCATCGTATGTCTAAAATATTGATTATATTGACTTTTCTTGTTATAAACTTCGAAGAATGATAAGTATTTATCTGCCTGAAGTTTACAAATTTTACATGTTTATAAAATATTTTTGTAATAAAACATTTTCATTAGTTAATTAATGGGCAAAAGAAATACTCCGTATTTTTTTTTGCATGTGGGAATCTCAGAGTCGGCCATACCTAGCGTTTCGCTTTAAGGGGTTGATACGATGCGATGTGTTGTGTGTCATCCTTTACTTAAATTTACAAAAAATAAGCAGAACATAACTTGCTATTGATATAAGTGGCTCATGGCCGAGGGTGGTAATCCATCAACAATCCATTCAGGCGTTAGCTTCTTTTTCGGGCTTTTTACCGAAGGGTGGGTGGCTCTGTCGCCCCACCTCCTTCGGATTATTGATAGAACTTCACGAGATGGTGTGGATGTGATACTTCTTCGGCTGGGGCTCCATGTCTTCGCCTTCGGTGAGATTACCTATCTCGCGTTTTTTCTTTGGGGCGCCCTTTACAAATTGGGAAAGTTCGCCTTGCCGAATCAAGCGTTCGATAGCTTTCTTCAGCGTGACAGAATCGTCAGTATTGTGGGAGGTGTTCTTGTGGTAGCGGCAGTAGGTGCCGTCCTGGTGAACAGCGTATATTTCCTTGGCCGATCGAGGATCTCTGGGGATGAGATCTTGCTCCTCCGCATAGTCGAGGATGGTACTCACCGAGTGTGTGAGTGGAGTTCTCGGTACGTCCGTCCTTGGGTTTCATGGTTTCTTGCCGCGTCTTTGTCCGTTGGGACCAGAGTGTGCATGCTTTCCCTGGTCGGGGGCCGAAGGAGCGTTGCTAGGCTTTTTCGACTGATGGATGTCCTTCTTGTGGGAATGGAGCTCATCAGCGTCAGCATACAAGCTCCCTCGCTGGAGTGCCTTGGTGTATGACCTCGGTGGGTCAGTGATGAGGCTCCTCGCGTGGGGGTTACTACGGAGAACGCCTTGAAAGAGGACGAGGAGGGTGCGCTCATTGGCACCTTCGACCTCGTCGGTCTCCTTCGTCCATCGGTCGATGAAAGACCTGAGTGATTCATCGTGTTGCTGTTTGACGGAGAGGAGATGGGAGAAATGTTTCTTCACGCGCTTCCATCCAGCGAAGTGGATGATGGGGTCATCACATCCCTCGGCCAGCTCCCTCTCCAAGAAGCTGACCTTGTGCAAGAGTGCATTGTATCCGGGTCTTGGGAGGTGATGGCTGAGGGCTTGCTGAACAGTTGCCTTGCCTCCATCTGGGCAAGCAACTTTTCCAGTCGGGCGATGACATCGTCCCTAGGATCCTTGACGGCCATAGTGGCGCCCTGTTGAGTCCTGACGCAGGCTGCATGGGCCGTGTTGATGTGGCAACGTATGTCGTCCTCATGTAGTTTCCCTTTGCCTTTGTCAAGGCGGGGTCGATCCGCTGTCCGGGATATGGACCCCAAGCTCTCCCTTGGTGAGCCAGGCTCACGTATACCAATCCGTCTCGATAGCCTCTCTGATGCTGGTCAACGATGCGTGTCCCCTAGCCTATTGAAGGCTAAGACTTTACGCACTGGGGTCGGTCCAACTCGGGGATAGGAAGCAGGGTTGGAATGGGATGAAGACGTGTCCTACGGTTCTACCCCCTCGACGTTGCCAATCTTCATGATCAACGGCTGAGGTGGGGGTGGTGGTGGAGTAGTGTTCTCTCCTCCCGCGTCCTTGGCACGAGCGCGCTGAGGACGGTGGGGTTCTGAGCCAGGCTGGCTATGATGGTCAATAGAGCGGCCTGGAGCTGAGGGTCAACAGCAGGAGTAGTCTGCTGCCCCGAGACATGGTCACCTTGGTCCATGCGCTTCTTCTCAAGGCCGATACGGGCGTCTTGAGCGTTGTCGTTAAGTTGATTACGGAGGTCAGCCGTGGGGTCGATGGTCTCTTGAAAGATGCTAACTTGATTGTTCTAGCTCTCAATGAAAGCACCAAATGATAGAGTATTAATTATTAGAGAGAAGGGAGAGCTAGAAAGAGAATTAATATGTATAAATGAATTTCCAACCCTTTACATAGCTTGGGAGGCCCATTACAATATGGACTGGGCTCCTAAGTCTTGGGCTTGGGAGGCCCATTACAATATAATGACTCTATTGGGCTCAGAACATTCGAATATATTAGCTAAGTATGGAAGTCTGGCTCTGTGAGCTCTCTGTGGCTGATGGAGGTATGGCCGACAGAGGTATGGCCGACGGAGGTATGGCCGACGGGGGCACCCTGGTTCTCCTGGCTTCTGGATCATATTCTGAGTTGACTCTTCTTTGGCCGATGGGGTGCCATCTGGCCAACGGATGGCTCACTGGATGACAGATGTGCTCCTCTTAGTCATCTGAGTATGTGGGTCATGGGGTCTGGACCCGTGTACTCCATCAGGAAAGATGCTTACTTTTCCAACTCATAACACCTCCCCATTCTCTGCTATTCTCAGCCTACCAACAACGGCTAGAAACATAATGATAGACTATAAGTCTAGAGAGAAGTGAGAGCTAGAGAGAGAAGTAGTATAATTGCTCTGTATTAATGAATTTGTCAATCCCTACAACTACCTCCAGAGGAAGTATTTATAGGAAAAATGCGGGCTGGGCTCCCAAGTCTTGGGTTTGGGAGGCCCATTTACAACTGGACCGCTATTGGGCCGAATACAAAGTAAATGGTAGAGTATACAAATGATTAAGTGCAAAATCCTATTCTGGGAGTTCTTTATGGCCGACGAGGGTCTGGCCGATGAGTGCATGGCCGACGAAGACCCGGCCGACGAGATCACCTGATTCTTCTGGCTTCCGGATCATATTCTGGGTTGACTTCGTTCCGGCCGATGAGGGCCATCTGGCCGATGAGGGTCCCACTAGGTGACAGTTGTGCCTTCTGTTCTCTTGAGTATGTGGGTCTTGGGGTCTACACCCATATACTCCATCACATAATCTTTGGAATAAACTTTTTTGATCGAGTTGTTCTGTATGGATCATCTTCTGTTGGGACTAGGGGTGGTTCGGTACGGTATACCTAATATTTTCTCTCATACTTTTACCGTACCAAAATTTTCGGTATACAAAATTTATATACCGTTACCTTATCGAAGTTTCGGTATACCGTATTTTGGTATACCGAAGTTTCGGTTCGGTATCGGTACGATATCGATAAATTACCGTGCATGTCTCACAATACAACAAATTATCATACACTAACAAAATATACTAAATCGGTGTTACTAGCGACATATTTAATCCATTATTTAAATGTTACAAAATACAATTAATAATCTATTGATGTCAGATTCAATATTGAACAATAATTATTATTAGTATATATAAGCAGTTCAACATGTCACATATTAAAAAATAGAATATTCTCATTAAATAAATTGAACAATATAGATATAATTAAATGAATATAAAAATAAATAAAATTATTCAAACAACATAGATACAAAATCATCTATCCCTAATATGATATTGGGTATTTAGTCATTTTTTAATTTTAAAAAATATTTGAAATAGACTTTCAAAACAAAATTGTGTGCCTCGACTAAGTAGATCTCTATGTAGATACATTCGTCACATAAGTGTATTCATCTTCACTCATCAGCTCAGTCATCGTGACTCACAAGCTCATGGAACAAGATGAACTAGTTTCTTGACATTAGTACATTACTTATTAGTCATTATGCTTATTTGTTTGAAAGTTACGTAGTAGAAGCCTAAGCTTAAAGCTTATAGCGGGTTTGGTGAGTTGGACCTTTCTTTTTGTATTTTAGTATATGTAACCAACCTAAGTATTAATTTTGGGCTTCGAAATTGTAATTGACTTTTACAATATTTTAGAATTTAAATTAATTGTTGGGTAT